CCATTCCTAAAAAAATACTTTAAACACAAAAATAAGACCTCAATGTAGATAAATATCCAAATACCTTCCTTATAAGAAGAGATGACTATAGCTAAGATTGTAACATTTTGGCTTAAAGTATAACTTGACAGAAAAGAAGGACAAAAGGGAATCTTCTGGTGGGTGTTGCCAAGGAAAGTTAACTCTTTTCTTCATGGTGCACTCATTTTTGGCAAGAATGCTGTGAGAATTAGTATGGGAACATGTACAAAATATTCTGAGATCTTTGAAAAATGTAAGCTCTTTCTAGTAATCAGAAGGTGTGATATGCGTTAGCTCTCACATTCTAACCCAAATCAACTGGGACCTGGCAGCACTTTCAATCTGCTGATTATAGACATCCCAGAGCTCAACAAAGGCTTCATTTAATTTTTCTGTTTAAATACCAAAATGATCACGGTACCTCCTCCTTTTCCCCCTCTAACGGTTACACTAGGTCTAACTGTTAATAGCTCAGCATGGTTAAAAGCCAGCATCTAAAGAAAAGCCTTTTCCCACCTACCTAACAAATACAAACATCTTTCATTTGCCATTGTTACTTTTTACAGTCTGCTGCTTAATCTTAGACTCACAGTTATCACAAAGCAATTTCTTAAAGAGTTCCCTCTCTGATTTTGATGGTTGCCAACCAACCACTCTACACTGTATGTAGCCCACCTCTCTAAATGGCAAGACATGTTACTTGTCACTGATTAACAGTCACTAAAAACATAAGCAGATATTTAATTAATCACTTAGGCTTATAGACAGGTCTTTTTTTTTTTTAAAGATTTATTTATTGATTGATTGATTGATTTATACATACATTCATGCAAGCACTGGGTATAGTCAGAAGCACGGGAGGGTGAGAGAATTCACCAGAGCCAGAGCGGGAAGCAGAGCAGGCAGAAGGACCGAAGTACACTGCTGAGGGGAGCAGCGGGTGGCAGGAGAGGTCTGCGCGCCATGTGGGACCCTCCTCCAGTGGCCGGGGATCGAACCGGCGCTGCAGAGGCTGACGGACAGCTTCGCAACCCAGCGCTCAACCTCTGAGCCACCGGGGAGGCCCTAGACAGGTCTTATTTAAAAAAAAAAAAAAACACACACAACAACGGGTCTAATGCTAATCCAAGTATCTAATTTTCAAAGCACTAAAAAGAAAATTACCTGTTTACTGAGGTCACTAATCTTTTCTGAGTGCACACTCCTATCTAAAATAATTTGTACACATACTTTTAATATGTAAATATTTGTTGGTTTTAAAATGAATATATCTACATCACTACTTATCTGTCTAATCAAATGAATCTACAAAAATTTAATTTTGAAAGTCTGTGATAAAGATCTTTTACTATTTTCTCCCCATACCCCACAAACTGTACATTGTGTACCTTTCCTTCAGAGGCTGCTAAGATAAAGAACCACTTTATTCTAGCCTAAGTATCTTTTTTTTTTTTAAACATACATCATTATTATGGTGAAGCCTGCTTCAGACCCATACATGTATGACTAGACTGGCTAGAAGGGGTTGGAGTAAGCTCTAATAGGGTCTCGCTCTATAGCTCCTAAGAAATGATACCACTGTAAGTCAATATTTACTTACTATCTATACCTGAGGTCCTGTGCTCTGGGAGAGCTATGGTTACTGTGGCCCTGGTGATTAAAACACTACAGAGCATGTAATAGAGGCACAAATCCTACTTTTAAAGAACCTAGACATAAAGAATACCAGCACACACCAGCAATTTAACAATAGTAACTGGAGATGATTCATAAGAAAAATGCTCAGAATCCCCATCATTGGCAACCTGATGACTTCAGGACAGAGAGAAAGATGGAAACAAACACAGCCAACCTGTGGTTCTCAAAGCAAATCATTTAATTTACCTCTCGAAATCAAGAAGCTCTGTCCTCTGGAGTCAGAGCCATTATTTAAGACTGAGGAAACAGTGTTAGCTTGGGAAGCCTGAAGGGGTACACACAGACTTCTTGAAAAGGAGCGCAACAGGCTCAAGTTGATGGCCCCTAATGTGCATGCTAAGAAATCTCAACAATCCTTCAGGCTTTTTAGGAGATTTCCTGTACGTTGCATTAATTTCATTCCAAGCCATAATCCTCAATCTTTTTCTAGTTAAGAGGTATATATTCACTTAAAAGGAGGTCTGGAAATGTGACTTAGAGCTCAATGCTTGGTCTATCATGTCACTTATAAAGTTCTAAAAAGATTACCCTGGGTTTTTTTTGTTGTTGTTGTTGTTTTTTTTTTTTTTTTTAGATTTATTTATTTTTATACAAGCACTGGGTACAGTCAGAAGCGCGGGAGGGTGAGAGATTTCACCAGAGTCAGAACGGAGAGCAGAGCAGGCAGACTTACGAAATACACTGCTGAGGGGAGCAGTGGGCGGCAGGAGTGAGACCCTCACCCGGCGGCCGGGGATCAAACTGGTGCTGCAGAGGCTGCAGGAAGCTTCGCAGCCCAGCGCTCAACCACTGCGCCACGGGGGAGGCCCAAGATTACCCTGTTTTTACTATAAAAACTGACATGCAACGAAGAAGGCAATCAACATGAAAATCAATCAATGAAAGTAGGTATGGTAATGCATTTTGATTCTTCTAAGATACTCTTCTTCACAACTAAAACACCTATTGATGTGTTCTCAACAACTAATGGGTAGCCACTGTATATAGTTTTCGATAAGATTATAATAGCAGCTGCCGTTATTAAAGATCTATTATATGAGCCTTATGTGTGTTACTTCTTTTCTTTTTTTTAATTGAGTTTATTTTTTTAAAGATTTATTTATTCATACATACAAAAACTGGGGTACAGGCCAGATGTACCCCAAACTGACTAAAATACACTGCTGAGGGAAGCAGTGGGCAAGACAGGAGAGGTCTGCTGCACCATGTGGGTATCTTGCCAGCCAGCCAGGATCGAACCCGCGCTGCAGAGACTGCGGACAGCTTCACAGCGCTGCACTCAACTGCCTGTGCCAGCAGGGGAGATACCCATGTTACTTCTTTTCTTATATCAGCCCTATGAGCTAGAGTATCATCCCATTTACAGCTGGAGAAAAAATTTTGAGATGTTAAATTGTTTACTTTCAAGTCACATTTTGTAATGATTGGGCTAGAATCTGAAACCTTATCTGCTTCTAGAACTCACATTTAAAAAATTACTTCACTATACATCCCATTTCCAAATCTGTGTTTCTCTTTCTCCATATTTTATTCAATCATAAGCCTTATCATTATCTGGGTAGGAGCAGAAATAATTATTAGAAAATGTGCAAGATAGTTATTTTTCTCTTTTATATAGATGACAAGAATGGGCACTCAGAAAGTTAAGTATATTTCCTGGGGTAATAACGCTCATAGGTTAATAGTGCCAGAATTTGAACTCAGATCTTTCAGATGCTAAAAGTTGTGTTGTTTTCCACTATCTTGCAGAATTGTGCTAAAGATGAAGTGAGTATATATATATATATATATATATATATATATATAGCATATTGAATGGTATCTGGTAATGTAGTAAGTATGCAGTAAATTCTATTAGTATTTTCAGATACACACAACAGTACGTGAGTAGACTGGAGGACACATATCAGCCTAGAAGATGAAGGGCATTAGGGACATAATATTCAAGAAGGGTTCCAACTAGCCTCAGTGTCTAAGCTGAGCACACTAGTCTCTTTCCCTAATCTCTCAGGATGACCCAATACTTGAGGCTCACTCCTGGCTACCATAACATGTTGGTAGAGCTAACAATATAGCTTACTCTAAAGGTTAAGACTAAAAGGAAAAAGAAAGACTACAGTACCATGTATACATGAAATAGACCAATATTCTGAATGTTTCCAAGCTTCTGGCTAGAGTGGGTAGGAAGCTGGCTCTCTGACTGTGCACTGGTTAATCAGGATAGTATGCCTCACTCCAGGGCATAGTTCTTTTCTATCTCAATCAGGAACTACCAGGGGAGCTTGGGTACTGGGCACAGAAGGGATGAGAGCATACCATAGCTATCTAACACAATCTGGCCTCCAAACTGGTCATTAGGCACAGAAGAGTAAAATTAAGTTTCTCAGAAATCAATGCCTAGATGTCATTCTGAAACTGTGAAAGGACATGCCTGTTTGAGATTTAACATAAAAACTATGAGCATTTAAAGGGGATGAGCCTTTGGTGTAAGAAATAACACAAGCTATTTCTGTTGGGGAGTTAAAAAGGAGTTTTTAAGTTATGAACAAATACTTTGACTGTGCCCTTTAGAACAATAATATAATTATTTTGACTCTTCCAAATATAATCCTTAAGATATTTTAAATAGTAGGGAGCATTACTAGAAAAGGCAAATATTGTCTAAAATAAATTAAGCTATAGGCTAAGGAAGCAATGGGCATTATGACTGCTCTTTACAGAGCTGTAAGATTCATAACTTCATGGTGAATAAAAATGTCACAAATGCACAAAGATGTTGATAGGACTCCATGAATCTGAAAAGAATGATTTTTAAGATGGATGAAAGAAAGTTTTCTGAAAGTATTAGAATTCTGTAACAGTGAAGTTAAAACACTGCCTGTGCTACAACTCCTTTCACCTTCTGGCCTCCATTGTTTAATAATAATCATTTTTCAAATATGACCAAGACTTAGATCAATTAACCACAAGCTAGAAAGACCTGCAAAGACATGCCTCTTCTATATGTTTCATATTTTAATATTCTTCAGAGATTAGAAGGTAGGTAAAACTTGATGTCCACCCTCTTGGTTGTAAGTGCCAGCATTAGACTCAGTCAATTTGACCTTCAAGTACACCAATTTGACCTCTGTTCATACTCCATTCACAACACTAAGCCACAATACATCAATTCACAATTGATGGAAGGAATTAGAGAAAACCCTGAGCAAGGACAGAACCAGTAGCTAATTTCTGTGAAGAATTCAGATAAGAATGAATCCAGATAAGAATGATGTACGTACCTGTACCACAGGATCTTTTGGTTGGTGTGATTAACGAGACATGAGCTGTATCTGTGCATGGCCCACCTAGAAACAGAAAGGCAGGCACATCAATCAGGACATATCCTCTACATGCCCATAGCTGTTATTATGGGTAAAGAGAAACCTAACGAGGAAATCAACCTGAAAATATGCATAAGGAATGGCAGTAGGAAAGATGGTAGTAGTGATGGTAAGCTAATTCTAAGGACGTAATTTCAGTTCAGCAATTCAGTCTATAGATCCATATTCTTTCTACATTGCTATATGCTTTTCATAAAAAATAACTGGGTCTCACATAATGTTAAGGAGTTAAAAGAACAAAATTTTAACCAGAATTTTAATCCCCACAAGTTTGGGGAGATGAATTTTCCACAAACCAATAAGCAGGAGTACTCCCTCTTAGGTTGATCTTAGTGGTTAGCTACCTTTGAATTTATTGCAAAGCTAGCTTTATTTAAAAAGGGGGACTCCCTAAAGAACAACAAACTGCTTGTCAGAAGAAATAAAGATCATTTTAATATAGAGAGAGCACTGCTGACCAAGGAAAAATATTTAGTCTAATTATAAGAAGATGATATAAAGAAGACTTTCGTGGAATCTTTGTGAGTCCAGAGATCTGATGCATAAGCATAATTCAAGAGTATGGATGAGATAAAGTCAGTCAGTGGGTGAAAGCTTGAAAAGCAGTAATTTCATTCTGCAGAACCAGGACCATCAACAAATTCTTAAGCTGATATTGATATATATACCCTCAAAACTTTCTATTGACCATGCCCTAACTTCTGAAATAGGAAGTTACTTCACAAACATGAAGATCAGTGATTCTCAAAAGGCCCTGGCAGTAGCAGAGGTGATCTTAAAGGAATAGAACACACAGGCAGATGATACACACATATTCTGAAAAGGTTCCACACATATTCTGACGAGCAAGTAGGAAACATGGTTACTTGGCATAGATGTGTGTCATCTACGACAAAACTTCACATCATTAAAGTTATTCATAGAAAAGGAAGGAAAGATGAAAGAGCTCCAAGACCTGTTCCTAGAATTTATGTCATCCAGAGCCATGGGTTCAGGGTCTGGACTTGGAGATCCCACCTAAGGATTTCATAGTCCACTCTCTCCTATACCAAAGCCACAATGGTAGCAAATTTTTCTGGGTTTAAGAAGACATGGAAGGGCCTCCTTGGTGGCGCAGGCAGTTGAGCGCCACAATGTGAAGCTGTACGCAGCCTCTGCAGTGTGGGTTGGATCCTGGTCGGCCAGCTATGGTCCAACATGGTGTGGCAGACCTCTCCTGTCGCGCCCGCTGCTCCCCTCAGCAGTGTATTTTGTCAGTCTGCCTGTTCTGTTCCCCGCTCTGTCTCTGGTGAATCCTCTCACCCTCCTGCGCATCTGGCCTGTACCCCAGTTCTTGTATAAAAATAAATAAATCTTTAAAAAAAAAAAAGAAGACATGGAAGGGAAATAAGTTAGTGCATTATTAATGCTGAAGATCACTTAAAAATACCTACTACGTGCCACCAGGGGTTAGTTTTATGGTCAAGGAACTTATACTCTTGTTAGACAAAATTTGCATACATAGATACAAATAATAATACATGACAGCAATAAAGAGCATAACTGGCCAGTATCTCTTGGAAAATGTATTAAGGAATTTGAAAATGAGGCGAGAATAAACTGAAAGTTTAGAAAGTCAGACATAAAGAGTAAGACAACTCAACTGAAAAAATTTCCTAGAAATGTCACAGTCCCCAGAGAAAGGTTATCATACCAAAATCCAAGAGTACAAATGGGCCACTGTGACATGAAAAAGACAACGTGGACAGAGCCACAGGAAAACCTTATCCATACCTCAAATCCTCAAGAACCTTCTGGCTTCTGTAATTCCATAAAACACTGTAGTTTTTGCTTCCATGTAAGGATTTTTTGCTGTTATTATTGTTAATAGGATCATTCTTAATTTTAGGAAAATACAGGCTTTCAGGAAAAACTCAGTTTAAGTCCTGCAACTATTCTTTCCTGGCTGAGTAATCCTGGATAACTAAGTCTCATTTTCTTTAACAAAAGTTGCCCGTAAGCCACAGTGATGATGAAATCATCTGGACAAAAAGCCTTCATTAACTATAAAGCTTTATATTATGTATCATTTTTCTTCCATAGATTTTATTCTCCCAAAGGTCAAGAACCACTTCATCATCTACTCTTGGGTCACAACTATGTGGACAGCGTACTTAGTAGTGGTCTAATTAAGGGACCATCACAAACTGCCTGATTTAATCAGGAGTGATGTACTTTTTTCCAAAACATTTAAAATACAACTTAAAAGTGCACAAATCTTAAATATATATTCGAGGATTTATTTGTGTGTGTGTGTGTGTGTGTGTGTGTCTGTCTGTCTGTCTGTCTGTCTGTCTAAGAACCAACAGATAAAAAATATTGTAACATTTCCAAAATCTAAAAAGTTTAAGGGAGCCTTTAAAAAACAGAGTCCCAGATGCTGATTCTGTAAATTTTGGTGTAATAGATGGGGCAGGCATAGAAAGAGGTACATATACATTTGAAATTTAGCTGAGCACAATGTAAACATTAACAGCCCAGTTACTTCCTATTCCTGATAACATTTTAACTCTCAATATCTGGCCAAGATCCCTGAGTTCCCACAACATCATGAGCAGAACACAGCAAAAAAGTCAATAACAGCTTAACTACCACAACACTTTTTAAAAAGAACATAAAATAATTCACCCAGTAAAATTAGAAGAGAGAAATCAATCAAATCCTCTAAAGAAATCTGACTAGACTCATGAATTAACACTCCCATGTTTACAAATGCAACCTTTTCTTCATCTGTAGGTCAAGAGTTTATCCTTTTAAAAATTCCTAGTAAATGAATTTCTGTAGGTTTTGGCAAATACCCAAATAAGTTTAAGACTACCTAGCATATCTCAACATGCATCATCATAAAAGTGTTCTCCAGAGAGCTTGTTAAACTAACAACCCAATCCAATGTATTCACTACATTACAGTAAAGTACAAATAGAACTGTAGTTGAACCAAAACAAATTGACAGAAAGAGTAACGGGTAGTGATAATATACCCCAGTTTTGATAATTGGAGAAATATTATAAACAGAGAGCTTGGAATTAGGTTTGGTTTGGCAGACTATAACCTATGAAACACTTTAAAATCCAAAACAGACATATATGAGTACTGCATATATATTCTACACTAATTGTACTGTCATACAAAATTTCTATACTCTCAAATAAATGGAAGTAGCCACAGGAGTTTATAGTAGCTACCCTTACACAATTAATTCCACATCAATTGTTTAAAATCAATGCAGGAAATAAAAGTGCCATTCAGGAGTACCTCTTTAGCTTTTTGTTCAAAACCATAAAAATATAACATGAGTCCCATGTGGCTGTAACAAACAAAATAATTTTGAGAGTTGGTGATAAGGATCAATTTGTTCCATCTGGAATGGAGCTGGTTTTTCCTACCGTTGCTTTCTGATGCCTGAGAAAGGGGCTGGCATATGATCCCATAAATCACTGTAAAATCTGTTCCCAGTTTTGGTGTGTCTTGCTCCAAGCAGACGTTTGGACAGAGCTAAAAGGTGAGGGAGTCTCTTCATTATTAGATTCTGTAGGTGAATGTGTGTGGCAGGAGAGAGAGAGAGAGAGAGAGAGAGAGAGAGAGAGAGAGAGAGAGAGAGAGAGAGAGAGAGAACACGCCCGAGAGCGATCACATCATGAGATCAACAATGGGAAAATAAATGTATTTCTAAGTATAGAACAATTCATACCATTATACTATAGCCTATATTACTGGCAACTGAGTTTGGAATAGTAAGTTTTGGGTTTTTAAATATTAAAAGAAATTCAGCAGTTAAAGATCCTTGCTTAATATGACAGACTTTGGAATCCTGAACCAAATGATATTAAGATTAACCAACCTAAACTTTTAATCATCTTGAGTGCTTTTTGCTTTTTTCCTTTGCTAAAGTAAACATTTAAATTTTTAAGTTTCTTCATTAACCATAGATATTTAATACAGACTATTATTTTACATTTGATATAACACTCAGAGGACTTCTTCTCTGAAAATAACAAATTCAACAATTTAGGGTCTGGAATTTGCAAGTATGTAATGTCTGTAGTAACCTGTTGTTTGTGACCAGAAATCTAAACATTCTCTCTCTTCTAGGGATGTTTCTTTTCTTGTGTTAAAGGTATCATACATAATGTAGCACTATGGATCATACTTGGAATTCGACATGAGACCAGAAAATGAAATTCTTCAGCTGTCCCAACAATTAGAAATCTTTATAGCATTTGCAGCAATAGGGTACTGAATTTCAGCCCTATAAGGTTAAAGACAGCAGTAAAATCTCCATGCTAAGTTCAATGAAACCTGCAGGACCAGAAGGACTAAATATAGGTATCCCATCAGCTATCAACACTCACGTTTCAAGTTGAACTAGAAATTTTCTTTTCAATTTCTGGTATAGTTACTGAATGTGTCAAAAACCAACCAATCAACCAACCAACCCTGAATACCCACTAGTCAATTGCATAGACTGATTTAAGACAGTAACTCAAGGAAAAGTAGAGACACAGGCTTGGAGAACAGCAGCATTTAAGCTTGCAACTGTCATTGGAACTCAAAAAAATAAAATAAAAATTAAAAATAAAGTATTTCTCCTTAACCTTGAAAATCTAGATCAATAGTCTACACAGAAAGATTCTGTTAAAACACCTGTGATGACTGTTATTTTTGGCACCTGGTTCTACTATTCTTCATTGGCTGCAGTTACACCATGTGCTAAAAACACATCAATTAGGGAAAATGGACTGTCAAGGAGTTAGTCAGCTAAAAATTGCCCAAAGCTCAATAATCAAGCAAATATTCTGCTGCGGGCTCTTTCATGGTAACTGCAAATTATTAATACACAAAAGTAGCCATTCCTTTTGCAGATTTATAACACTTCAATATTCTTGCTTAATTAACATGACATTTACATAACAGTATCTAATTAA